CAAATTATTGAGCTATTACCGTAAAATCTCACTGCGTGATAATTCAAATGAAAAGTAGTAAATGCTATGTTGAAATGTTGCGAAAACACTTTTTACGAGTATTTTAATATGTAATATAATCTAACTACAAGTACTTAATTTTTTGCAATCTGCTTACATAATCCAAATTACATATTTTACACTGGTAGTTGCTAGGGTGTTCTGGCTTGTTAAGATAAGCAAGGCCTTGATGAGAAAGTGTCACCTGAGAGACATTTCTTTTCTAGTGTTCTGATGGTATCTAAGGTGTTGCTAGGTGGTTTATAGAGTGTTCTGGGTGGTTTCCAGAAGGTCTTTGTCAAGCCAACATCATAACGTCACTGCTAGCTTTCAACACTGGGTTAGATAGAACAGCTGTGCAAGCGGACTCTGTGTGTGTGTGTGTTAGTATGCGAGTGTATGAAGAGAGAACGATAGAGTGTGAGAAAGTATGGAAACATCTGCAAAAACACTTAAGTGCTTTCATACCCCGTCCCTGAGGTGACACTTTGTTGTCAAGGCCTCATCCTTGCTGCACTGAGGTAGAAGTGTGTGTGTTGATCATTTGCAAACGACCAAAGATCACACAAGATGACATCATAAGCGAGTAAACATTCCGACAGTTATTCACATCGCCGTAGCCATCCTTCCAACTCGGAATTCCAAGAGCAGATGTCAAGAGTGAAAGAAGCCAAACTGCAGCAGCGTACAAGAGTCCTGCCAACACCTGCGAAGTTCCACATCTTGCTTTCATATTTGCAGAGATCAAGCTTAAATTCCCCTCATTTGTCAGTCTCTTCTTCTACCATTCTGAGTTTCCAGAATATGAACTCACCATTAGATGTGGGCACATCTGCAGTTACTGTACGTTATTAGCAGGCTCACATTTTCTGCACTTTCTTGGAGGGAAATCTGCAAAAACCGATTGTCCAATGTGTTGTATGGAGGTGAGAGTGCAACATATGCATTGGTAGCTACATGCAAAAGGATGTGTATGTACTTAGAGAATGACATTAGGGATGAAATCAGGGATTCTGCAAGTCTGCATGACCTTTTTAAGACCAATTAAAGAAAATGTAAGGAATAAATTAAAGGAACACAACTCTCTAACTTCAACTTAAATTAATTTGAATTACTTTGAAATTAATTGTACAAAAAATAAAATACAAAAATAACTTTTATAGTATCGTCAAATAATACTGCACAAAAGTAATGATACTTCCAAGTATTTTTGTCTTGTTTTTCAGAGCAAATGTCTAAAACTGCATTACATAAAAAATCAAGATGCAAAAAAGACATGATAAAAGTTTTGATTTATGGGAAATGTATCAAAATGAAGTGAATTTCTGATTTAAATAATATCAAATATCTGTCAATGAGAGAAATCAACCTAATTCAAAGGGAAAACAAGTTTCGCATAACCCATTGGCAGATATTTGTTCTTGTTTTAAGCATAAAATCACTGAATTTCTCAAAAAAATGAAACCATTTCAAGTAATTGAATTTTAATTTAAGGATGTTTAGATATTTGTATTGGAAACCGAGACAAAAATGCTGACAAAAATATGAATTTTCTTGCAGTGCACATTTTATGTCATGACTATGCATTTAAGACTTTCTGCTCTGATTGAAGACATTTTAAGGCCTTAATTTGTAGAAGGGAAAAAATGCAGACTTTTTAAGACCTGCAGAAACCCTGGATATGCATTCGCTGAGATTTTGGTTGGACTGGGCTGATTCTTGATTCAATTTAATTCAGATATGATTCAACTTCAATTCAAATTTGATTCAACTCTGATTTCCTATTTGGGTACATCTATAATGTCCATTTTGCGTATATGTTATTATTACACATAGAAATTATATCACTGACTGCTTAGGCAGTGTTTAATTACATTTGCTTTATGCGCTTCCTTTTTTTTTCATATGTTTTTATCCAAAGCTAGGAAAATCACAAGCAATTTGTCATAGAACCAACTATATTCAGTGCGCAATGCCAGGTTTCAAGTAAAAACAAGACTAGATCGGTTTCACACTGATTCAAATTGGTAACTCATCTTTTTTTAATTGCTCATTAGAGAAAAAAATGTGTTTGAGAATCAGACCACAACGGTTGGGTTTTATAGTTTTATCTTTCACCCGAGGATTGCCATTAACCGAAAAATCCATATTTTTACCCAGACCTACTGTACAGACTCAAATAATACATAATAATAATAATAATAATAATATCTACAAATAATACCTGCAGGGCAATAGGGTGAAACCAAACTTGTGTATGGACCAAATAACCAAACCAAAAATGTGCTGTGCAACTTGGCGAAATGTACAATTTACAAACAGAGTTGCACCACAGACATGCAGAGAGATGGTTGATGGCCTGATGCCCCACAATGCCAGAGAAACCAAAATCCTGCTCCCGAATTACACAACAACTTCTGTGCGGTTAAGAGACATGCTGTTTAACACAACAAAACTTTCTCTTCGTAAAGCCCATGGGCAACACTAATCAAATATTTCTGGGTGGAAAATCAGAGCGTTTGCACGAGGCTCAAAAGGCTCTCATAAAAAGCCTTCAAAATATCAGACTCGCCTCTAATTAAAATCACAATAACACAGGGATGTGCTTGTGTGTGTGTGTGTGTGTTTGAGTGAAAGAGAGAGAGAGAGAGAGAGAGAGAGAGAGAGAGAGAGAGAGAGAGAGAGAGAAAAAAATGCAGAAAGAGAGAGATATGAAAACGCGCTGTGGGCTGGTTTTAGAAGGGCATTGGCCACTTTTGATCTGGTCCAGCTTGGAGACCAGCTTAAACCAGGTAAGACCAGCAAACCAGTTTAGGCTCTTTCAGCAGGGCGTGTAGAGGTATTTTCCCCATGGAGGGAGGATCTTTACAGGCAGTCAACACTTTATTTAGTCACTACAAATAGGAGGATTTTGAAATATAACTCATGATCAATGACAGCAAAAGACTTTATTATTATCATTATTTTAAATAATTATAGTGATATGATTTTGTTCGAACATGCTACTGTATTACCAGAGTTCAAATCCCACTTTAACATAGTTTTTATTTTATAAGCCGCACAAACTTGCAAAAGAACTTAACAGCCAGTGATCACCCTGAATTTGTCATATGGAAAATGACAACTCTGACTATTTGATAACTTCATTTTGTATTCAAAATGTAGATTAAATAGGCATGATGCTCAATTACACACAAACTTTGCATGGCTGTCAACTGTCCAGAAAAGTCAAAATCATCACTTAAGCCCTAGCTTGACAATGTACTAGGCTATTCCTTTATTCGACAGACTATGTCTAACATGACTTCTAATAAAAAAAAAAAAAACGGAATTCTACTGAATTAGCCAGTATGACTTGCTTTCAAGGCAACTCAAATTTGAAAGCCAACTCTACATACATGTACCAATTCCTTTTGTGTTTCAGGAATAAAAAAAAAGTCATAATAGTTAGAATAGAAATGCCACTTGATCGCACACAATGCTTTTTGGATTGCTGTCAAGAAATCAAAGTCATCAAGTCTTCTGAAGCTCTATAATAGCTTGACAAAAAAATCATTTTAAGGTAAACTATACCTTTAATCATCATAATAGACTACCATGAATTAAAAACATTTGTTTCAAATAAATTAGCAATGATTTGCTTTCAAGGCTACTCAAGTTCGAATTCCGATTCGACATACATCATATATTTATAAAATGTGACCATGGACCACAAAACCAGTCATAAGTCGCTGGGGTATATTTGTAGCAATAGCCAACAATACATTGTATGGGTCAAAATTATCGATTGTTCTTTTATGCCAAAAATCATTAGGATATTAAGTAAAGATCATGTTCCATGAAGGTTTCCTTGATAAACAGAATATAAAATTACTTGCATCATGTTTAGTGTCATGTCATTTCGAATATGCATGTATTTCCTGGATGTCTGATTTGTCTTGTGGTCGGTTGGATAAGTTACAAAAATCTCAGAATAAATTGATAAGGTTAGTTTTAGGGTTTAGTCGTTTTACACATGTGGAGGTTTCCCACTTTAAGTGTCTTGATTGGTTACCTATAGTAAGCAGATTCGAACATATTAAATTAAAAATGGTACATACGATTATCAATAACAGAGCTTAGGGTAAATGAGCAACATTGTTATAAAACTAGGCAAAGTCTCATGGATATTACATTATGTCGGTTTAAAACTATGTATGGTCGTAGGTCTTTTAGATATTCTGGGGCACTTTTGTGGAATAAGTTACCTCTGGACATTAAAGGTATTTCGAATATGGTTAGTTTTAGTTTAAAAGCGAAACGTTTGTTCTTAAGTAGGTTGTTTTGTTGATGAATTTGTATTACGTACGTGGTTATTTGTGACTGTACATTTTTGTAGATGTGGAATTTTATTGTAATTTTTGTATTTATAATGCAGTGCCAGTGTACCTGTTACAGGGAGTGAAGTTTGTGCTTTACATCAAGGACCACAATGGAAATAAGTTTTGGTTTAAACGTTATTGTGTTATCCTTGACGAATAGAGTGTATGCACTACTTTTTTTGTCAAATAAACAAACAAACAAACAAACAAATTAGCCGGTAAGTTTTGCGTTCCAGGCGACTCAAGTTCGAATGTTACAGGGAGTGAAGTTTGTGCTTTACATCAAGGACCACAATGGAAATAAGTTTTGGTTTAAACTTTATTGTGTTATCCTTGACGAATAGAGTGTATGCACTACTTTTTTTGTCAAATAAACAAACAAACAAACAAATTAGCCGGTAAGTTTTGCGTTCCAGGCGACTCAAGTTCGAACCCCGACGTGACACACACATTTTTTTATAAACCAAGCAAAACAGCAAATAAACTTGACAGTAGGTGATGGCTAGGAAGAAAATGTGACGTTTTATCCATAAATCTTTTTGTTTTTCCACGATTAAATGAGTCATAATAGTTTGAATGAGCATGACGCCTCAAGCTTACCTTGATCGCACTTGAACTTTCGCGCGGCTGTCAGCTGTCATCAGTCTCGCCAGCAATACGGCAAAACAGCATCATCAACAACAACTCCAGCAGGGTTTGTCTTGACTTAAACCACTGCTTATAGGTCCCTGCATCACTTCTGTCCCGTTGTTGTTACCCCCTTAAAATTCTGCAACTCCCACCATATTTTCCAGAGTCCTGCCCCTGTCAACAGACGCTCCTCTGTTCCTATTCAACCGAGAGGAGACGGCAGCCCCGCAGATTCAAGTCAAGACACGATGATTTACAGTCTCTGCCAGCCCTCCCATCCTCACACTGGATTCATCGACTGTTCACACTCAGGTTTGACGGTGGAATGCGAATTTACATGTCGCCTCAGACCAGAAAAGTCTCAACAAATCAGTGAATGTGCTAAAATCCCACATTCACATCACTTCTGTCCCGTTGTTGTTACCCCCTTAAAATTCTGCAACTCCCACCATATTTTCCAGAGTCCTGCCCCTGTCAACAGACGCTCCTCTGTTCCTATTCAACCGAGAGGAGACGGCAGCCCCGCAGATTCAAGTCAAGACACGATGATTTACAGTCTCTGCCAGCCCTCCCATCCTCACACTGGATTCATCGACTGTTCACACTCAGGTTTGACGGTGGAATGCGAATTTACATGTCGCCTCAGACCAGAAAAGTCTCAACAAATCAGTGAATGTGCTAAAATCCCACGTAACGCCAAGCGAGAGAGCTCCGTTTGTTTGTGAGGGGAGACTTCCAGATTGAAAACTTCTCAAACGCTGCATAATTCACCTAAATACGATCTGGATGCATTAGGAAAATGTGAGAATGTGATGATCATTTTAGTACATTCTCTCAGCTATAGAGGGTTTTAGATATACAGTTCACTGACAGTCTACTACTACTAGCAAAATACCGACATCTAGTGATAAAAGTGATCAGTACATGTTTTTTTCCCAGAAAAAAGAGAAGGGACAAGAAGGCATTTCTACGGTGGACGAGAGGTGCAGAACAAATCACAATTCTGAAAACAAAATAAGAAATTACAAACGCAAATGCAAGTCTACAAAACAAAATAACAATTCAGAAAGCACAACAACAATTCAGAAAACATTATAACAAGTCAGAAAACACAACGACAATTCAGACAAACCGGAAGAGGTAGGTATAGTTTGAGACAGCGCCATTGGTTTGGGATTACTCACCGCTGACTGGACGAGACATCTGTCAATCAAAAAATACGGAGTGTCTATTTAGATTTAGTTAAAAGTGGTAGTGACTCATTAGCTCTAGTGGTGAGATGGATAAGTGTTGTCAGAAAACACAACGACAATTCAGACAAACCGGAAGAGGTAGGTATAGTTTGAGACAGCGCCATTGGTTTGGGATTACTCACCGCTGACTGGACGAGACATCTGTCAATCAAAAAATACGGAGTGTCTATTTAGATTTAGTTAAAAGTGGTAGTGACTCATTAGCTCTAGTGGTGAGATGGATAAGTGTTGATCATTGGCTTTTTGACGCGATCGACC